GCAGAGCGACATCCACGACTTACCTGCCTTTTTTATCTATATCATTCTATTTATCAATTTTTTTATTAAAAAAAACTAACTTTTGATGTCTTTTATTTTAGGGGTTTTGGAAAACAAGGATTTCAATGTCAAGGTAAGAAAATTTAGCATAGTTTTAGTTATACTGGGTTAATAATTTAACCCATTTTCGCTAAGAAATATAAATTAGTAAAATTTGTTAAATTTCATTAAATTTTTTTAAAATTTTTTATTGGTCTTTTGAGCTTTGGCAACTATGTTTTTGAGCTTTTTTTTTCTTTAAGGAGTGGGAGGGTATTATTTGTTGGTGAACACATGTCTAATGTTTGTCAAGGATTTGTCTCTAAGTAATTTTGTGATCATCCATCTGGGAGCCAATGATCTTCGGACAGTGCTTGACCGTAGCACACATTTGTGACTGTAGTCAACCATCGTTCCATAATAATATTGTGCATTTTGGATTATTCCAATTAATTGTATTTGAATTGCATTATTGTTTTAAAATAAGTTGTTATTTAAATATATTGGTCATTTTTTCATTAATTACTGGAAAAAATGTGTATAACTATTGTCAAATTTATTGGTAGCTTTTTACATAGTTCATTATTATTTTACGATGTTTACATTTTTAAATTTTTAACCATGATAATAAATAAATTCTCTCTTTTATTAAATATAGTTACACTAAATTGGAACCGYTGAATAAAAATAATTTTTTGTCAAAAGTACAAATTTTGTAAGACGGAGACCACACATTCGAGTTTGGTCTCCTCTAACATTAGAGTTTTAAATTTTAAAATACAATTGGATTATTATCTGCACTATCATAGTAAATAATTGAAGCATTAAGCTATTGCTCGTTAAATTATTAATTATTCAGAGATATTGATAATTATTGTATGTAATACATAAACATTATTTTTTTAAGAATTTTTGAATATTTGTCCGTTCCGAAAATACGTTTTATGTAATTAAACCCAGATTGAGCTAATATAGGAGTTGAAAATTTTTAAATGTAAGTTTGGTAAATTATTAATAGTTTTATAATCATGTTTTTCTTTTTTAGTTATGTCTTTTTTTTCATTTTTCATTTAAATTGGAGCATTATAATAAATTAGTTTATTAATCTGTTGATTTAAAATTAATCAATGGCGATATTTATGACTATAGTGAGATATTAAAAAAAAAAAAATGTTGAGTTATCATGATTGATTTGGTTTTTATAAACTTTCTTATTCTATATAAGTGTTGTAATTTTTCGAATTACACTTATTTAAAAAATGTAAATTCGATACTAATAAATGAGATTTAAATGGCTTTTATTATTTAATTAAATTTAATATCTAGTAATCTAGTATTTAGAATACACGCTAGAATATTTTTAATGTTTATTATGTCATTCTTTTTCTGTTTTTTTGTTTGTTTTTGCCTGCCTAATGTGTTTAGAAAAATGGTAAACATGCAGCTAACTGTGACACGAACTTGTTCTATTCAATGTAGGTATTTTATTAAATCTTCTATGGGTATTCACATGAACATATTGTTATATATTATAACAATTTTGCTTGATAAWTTTTTTAGGACTTCGTGCTTATTAAATACATACATATATCGACAGTAAAAATCTATTATGTAGGTTATACAATTAGATAGGAACTTATCTCCACATCTGACTCAGTTAGATGTCTTGGACTTAACTTGGATAAGCGCCTCATTTGGCATAGCCATATCCGTATAAAARCTAAAAAGACTTGCCTTAAACGCCCGTCTTTGCAGACTGCAAACGCTACTCATAAATAACAAACAACCCAATTTAAAAATTAAAATTCTTATGTATAAAACATTACTCAAACCTCTATGGTCTTCAACTAGGGCAGGACCCGTTTGGACCAATTTTCCTAACACACAAYTCGTTTGGACCAATTTTGAAGACTCGTTTGGACTAAAAAATATTAGTTTTATACAACTCGTTTGGACCAGCATTTTCCTTCCCATTTTATAGTGCACTATATGTACTAACCTAGTAAGGTACAGGTATAGGAACTGGGCTTCGATGTCACCACTGCGCATACGTAGAATATAGTGTTTGCGATACTAATATATAGGTAACCGCAATTATTGTCAATTAGTATTATCGCACCGGCCGATAGGGCTGTGTCGTAACAGATATCATTTATATTATATTAATTGTATAAACGTATAATGTAACTGTGGGTTTTTACTTTTTGGTCAGCCATCAATTATAAATAATTTTGTTCTCTACACAATCTACAAATTAGTTTACACAGTTTAACGGAACATCTAAGCGGGCTTTTTAGTAATTATTTAGAAGTAAAATATACGAATAAAAAATTGGTCCAAACTGGTTCACAAAATTCTGGTCCAAACGAGTTGCATTTTTATTAGTGTCCCAAACGTGCCTYGACCCTTCAAGTATGGGGTACAGCAAAAGCGTCCAATACTATCAAAATTCAACAATTTCAGAATATTTTTCTTCGGAAAATTACTAATGCTCCACCCTTTGTTTCGAATTACACTATACATAATGACCCATCAATTAAAATCGTGACAGAAGAAGCTATACGTTTCTAAAAAATCTTTCATGCTCGACTTCAAACACACCAAAACCCACTCATTAAAAACCTATCCACCCAAACATTACCTGGCAACCCCAAGCGTCGATTAAAAAGGAGCTGGTGCCGTGACTTGCTAGGGAACTAATATCAAAAATCAAAAGAAAAAAGAAAAAAAGAAGAAGAATCAGTATATATAAATATAACTAGTTTCATACWATGCTTACATAGCTTCTTACTCATGTACTCGTGTATTATTGTAACCCTTATCAAATATGCTAATTGTGCACAATTGTAAAGATTGTATATATTATTGTGTAAATAGAAGAAAAAAAGATGGGAACTAACTGTGAAACCACCCAACCGTATTATCAAGTAAATTATCACAGATTACTTACAAAAACAGTTCTATTATTAGAGAAAAATATTTGTTTCAAAAAAGGAAAAACTATGTACGTGAATATGCTATTATGTATAAAAATTACATACAGAGTGACCTTTACTAAGATATTCTTCTGGTCCTCTTATATTATACTTACACAGAGTGTTTTTTTTAAGCAAGTTCAACTATTTTTAAAAATATTTATTATTGGAGTTTTAAAAAACCAATCATTGTTTATTTTATCAAAGTATTATTTAGATTTTATTAATCAATATACACACTAGATTTTGAGTTATGACATTATGTGCAACTAAAATAAATTCTAAATAACAATCGTAGAGGTATCCTAGTATGAAAAACCTATGAATAATTTACATATATGACTGATATGTGATTTACYATGACTATAAACTATATAGGTTCGTAATCCTCGGAAAAGGGTGATGCATTTCATCCAATCGGAAGAGATGTGATTCTCAAATAATATACGTATCTATACAATAGACTCGTTTAGTGTTGAAATATTTTCACTTGTCATGCTGTACAACACTCAAGTATTTGCGAACAGGATGAGATAACGATTTGATCGAGAACCGTGAACGACGTGATGGCTGTGGAGGAAACGGTCTACAGCCACCGTTTTCCATTATGACCACATTCATTATAGTACCTAGTGAAATGTGATACATTCAAGTATCAGGTATTCTCGATTGCTGAAAATTTGTATGCCATTCAAGGGGCTTAATTTTGTAGAATGTCTTTAATTCCCAAAAAGACATGTGCCTTTTTCAGGTGTCCGCTATTTAAAAGTGTCCGTTAGAGGTGATTTCAATGTATTTAAAAATGCATTTATTTTTATATAACATCTGTAATTACAACTGATCAACCGAAAATACTTTGATTATCCGCTGGGAATAACATTAACCATATCATCGATGGGGATTTCAAGGTTCATTCCAAGTTATATTGCAAAATTATAAATTATATASAGATACTCATCACTAAGTTTTTTTTGACCTATGAAGTTTTCCCACTATTTCATTAATATTTTCTCATATTTAGTTATTTATAATTATATTGATTAAATTGGTTAGGTTCTGTGTTATGGACAGTTAAAAATGTTTCGGCATTAGATTAGGTATATGATTTAAGGTTTTGACATCGATTTTGGCATATTAATCATTATAATATAAAAGTATAATATCGAAGAATATTAATGTACCTATAAACACGTAAACTCCATGAATTCAACAAAAACTTTTTCATTACTATAAGAAATAAGATAAGTAAATAATATTAAAACAAAAACAAATAGTGACAAATAAATATTTTTTTTTTTGCAAAAAAATTAAAATCACATTTTAAAGCTTTTTAAAATGATAATGTACTTAACACGCTAGCGGGTGACCGTGATATTTTTCTTAGTTGGCCAGTCGATCTTATAGAAAACCCGGTGATCGCCGACCTTTTATTTTACCTTGTTTACGAKTGGGTATTTATGTAGGTATAGTTGGTGATGTTTAGTTCTGTGAAATTTCAATGTAGGTAACGTTTAATGAGAATAGTGAATTTTGGTCGAAAAAAATGTTTTTCCTGTTTTCGGAGGATTACGAATTGAGGATAGTGCGTCATTTTGCGTCAAGGTAAGGCGTCCATATGGATATGGTAACTTATATCATTCATAGAATTATCTCGTAGGTTAATCCTTGTACTTTGTAGATAATAGACAGGAAGGTTAGGTTATATGTACTAGTATATAGGTATAGTTATTAATAACTATTCATACCTTTCAACGACCGATCTTAATGATTAAAAAGTAAGCAAGGATTATATCATAATAAAGGTTAAAAATTTATTTGGCTGAATTACATATTTATAAATTTTACAAGTATGTTCATATAAAAAGGGCAACCCCTATAAAAGTTTCTCCTTGTGGTTAACACCCTCCTTTCCTAACTCCCTAAATGCATATTAAATCTATCAAAAATAGAAACATTTTATTTATACACAGCTATACATTAACGTTTTTATGACTAGGTATAAGGATTAATTTAACACAATATTACCTTTATGATCGGTTTRTTATTGTTCACAGCGGGTTCTAATGAATCAGGAACTCGTAARTGATATTCAAATTTAAATGGAAAAGCACTTAATCCT